ATGATGATGGTGATGATGATGTGGCTGTTCTTGTTGTTGATGAAATTGTGAATGTAATGAATGAGACGTATTATTACTGTTGTTATGCTCTGTTCTTTGTGGTGGAAAATTAAGACCATAGGGTACAGTGGGAACAAATGCTGAGTAACCGTACGAATGAGCAAATGGTTGAACATTTCCACCACCAGATGAATATGGAATATAACCATTATAGACAGGATATTTAAGACCTAAAAATAAATGATTTTATTTTTTTTAAATGAAAATTTTCTAAATATTTATTTTTACTTTGAGTAGAAAATTCTGGAAATGTTCGTAATAGAATATTTGCTGATAGTTTAGCTCGCTTTTCATCTGGACAATCATCTGATACTAATGGACTTCGTTTTGGTGGTCGACCAGGCCTCGAACTAAAAACAATAAAAATGTCATAAAATTGTTTTCTATAATATCAAAAATGATATATAATTATTTTTGTATCTTTATCTTTAATGTATTGATCAATATTAATACTATAATTTAGTTGTCTCATAAGTAAAAATCAATTTATTTGAAAAAAACAAGTTCATTTTGACAAGTCAAACAACCTATGCGAAATAACTGAAGTGTAGTTAATAGATATATATTAATTCCTGATTATTCCACGTCGGTTAATAGTAAAAGAAGAAGTAGAAGAAAAAAAAAATTGTGTTCTACAATGACACACGTGTACGGTTTCGTCTTTTTATATACAAATTGAATTTGTCTTTTGTTTCTTTATTTTATCATCAAAGTCAAAAAAAACTTTAGAATTAGATTAACGATTTAGTAACAAACAATGATGATGATGATGACAATGAGAGATAGATAAAAATGTATTGAATGTATTTTTGTTGTTTTAGAGCTCTATTTAAATGAAACATTTTAAAAAAACTATAATTTACTCTTCATTTATTTTTGTTAGATTTCAATAATAAAAGATTAAATTTAATGTTTATAGTATAGTGTGTATATATGTGTATGTTTCTACTACTGAGAAAAAACATTTTCATCGTCGTAGACAGCGCAACAATGTTATTTCTTGTTCTATCAACTGCTGCTGATGAGGATGAAAAAAGTTGATATTGAGATGTTTGAGAGAAAAACAATAAAATATGAATAAAAGTATGTTTATTTATGCAAATTATTTCTCTCAAACGAGTTAAGTAGAAATAATATAGAATCTAGATCGATTACACTCTCTTATCATCCACAAAAAGAGAGAGAGAGAAAGAGAAATCATTTTCAAATTTAAAAAGAGAAAGACTTTAAAATGGAAAATCAAAAAACTCACCCAGAATTTGTACAATCTTCATATAAGACATCAAATTCGGTTGGTGCAAGTAATTTACATCTATTCACGCCCGGTTGAATTGCTCCAAGACCACGTAAAATTCTAACCTGAAAAAAGAAACAAAGATTAAAAATGACAAATTTTTTATTATCTATAACTATTCTATATATCCTGTTTACTTGTTCGACATTGCATACAACTGGAATGATTTCTAATCGTTTTAATTTTGTATATACGGTATGCAATCCTCCAACCAGATGTTTTAAAAATAAATCAAATGCTTGTGGTAAACATATCAATTCTCTTCCATCAACATTAAATGATGTTAATTTAGTACCACGATAATCAATAATGCGAACCTTTTTATAGAAGAAACAATCAAAATATGTTTGACTAGAAATGTGTAAAAATCAAGATCTAGAGAGTTTTATCTCGAATATATTACTGTTCCACTTTAGTAATATGAATATATCTCTACTTACTAAATTATTTTCTGGCGTATTTCTTGCTACAGGTGCCTGGACAATAGAAAATAAATAGAAAAATAAATAATGACTTGAAAAAAATCAACAAAAAAAAAACTTACTGATTCATATGTTGTTTTTTCATATTTCATTGAATAAGATGAATTTGAACATACACTCTGATTTGATCTACTACGACTTTGTAAATTAGAACAATCATTATTATTATTATGATGATGATGATGTTGGCTATTCTTAAGTTGATGTTTGGTAGTATCATGCATGCCACCAATATGCCGGTCAGAATTGGATGAACATATACTCGATGAATTACTGTTGTCACCAATAGGACTATGTTGCGACATAATTTTTTACGCTTTTGTCATTGATATTTCAATTAAAATAAACTATAAAAAGCAAATTTTACATTTAAATTATTCTTTTCTTTAAAATATGGATCAATAATATAATCAATCTTTTCCAGTCAATTATTATAACAAAAAAAAATATATTTAGGTGTTTACCTATAATCGAATTAGCATGAAACTCAAATGTAGTTCTATTTTGAAATAAACCAGATACTAAAAACGTTTTTCCATTATTTCGTTTCCTTTAAACTTTTAGTCTTGACAAACTAGAGAACTATATTCAAACAGTTGAAAATGATGAAAACTCACATTTCTTCTGATGAATAGTAAAATATACTATCCTAAATAAAAAATATTAATGTAATTTAAACTAATATTCACCTAGTTGTAAAATATTATTAAAAAAAAAAAATCAAGGTTTGATATAATACTGATAATAAATAATAATGATTTTGAAGAAAAAAAAAGGTAGAAACGGATCTCTTCTTTATTCTCGTTTTGTCACTTTATTGTTCAAATATGTAGAACTCTTTTGAAGGTACAGAGAAAAACGAGTTAATGTTGATTTAATCAAGTTACAAGGTTGAAATGGGATAATATATATGTGTGTATATGTGTGGCCTGTGTTCCAAATGCGAATTTAGATGACAAATAATACAAAAAAAGCGAGAAAAAAATATCTTTTAGATATATGAAATAAAAAGAGGAAAAAAAAAAACGTTTTTTTTTATTATTCTCGACTAATAATAATATAGTATGTCTTCTTCTATTTCTTCGATTCAATGACCTATGAAACGGATTTCATTTGTTTTATTAGATTCATATATCAAAAAATACATTTGTCTATTTCTTCTTCTTTTTCTTTCTTTCTTCCATTCATTTCAAATGGGTGAATGAATGAATACTACTGATGATTATTTTCTCAACATAATAGAAATACGTTTGTTTCATTGGCTAAAAATACATAAGAAACAATAATTCTCAGAACCAATCGTTAGAACATGAAGATTAAAAAAATAATCAATGTCAACAGTAATGGTCATGTTAGATTTACAAAATGACGATTCTTTTATATAAAAAGAAAGAAAAACAAATAACGGTGAGATATCACAACATATGCAGTTTAATAAAAATCCCCTTCAGTTCAGACTTTTAGCATTTTAGACTGAATGTTTTTTTTATTTTTAGAGACAATTAAAAAAAAAGTAAAACTAAAATTATTAGACTGAACTTATCCCATAGAATAAGATGAATTCTGAATGAGGAAACATAATATGATTGTTTTGATAATTATATTTGTTTCCACTATCCTAGAGGAAATTCTTGGAATCAAGATTTTTGACTTCTTAAATTTTTTCAAACAAAAACAAAAACAACATACAAAATCAAGAACTTTCAAGGTGTTGAAAAATCTTAAAATTTATTAACTTTTTTTTATCACTTTCTTAATTCTTGAATTACCATTCTGTTTTACACTCTTGTTTACATCTAATCTCAAGGATTTTTCATGCGCAGAAGAACCTGAAGAATTTTACGGTTTTGAACATAGCTATTGAAGGAAGAGCCTAGAATCCTATATCTGGTGTCACATACGAGAGGAAAATGTAAATCTCATGATCCTGGAACATATTGTCTGGATTCATTCAAGATCTTAAAATTTTTGTTGACAAGATCTTGGACAAGACTTTGGTTACTTTACTAGGATAAAAATCAAGATTTTAGATATTGAACGGGAATATTCCCTATCGAAAGCCACATACGTAATACATTTTTCTCAAATAATCGCTTGATCTGAAAAATGTACGTCGATCACAATAGGATAAACTTTTTCCTCTAAGAAAGCGCGTGATAGAATATGCATCCCAAGTGTACACCAAAAAGATTTACGGCCCCTTTTCTTACGACAAATTGTTTTAGTGATCGGTCGATCATTACAGTACTTTTTCGGACTTTTTGCCACACTATATGGCAGAAAAGTTTTTACAGTACAATAAAATATATTAGATGAATGTTTTAGAGTGAGAATCGACTCATGACATGAGTATAAATTGAGTATACAGAAAATTTCATATGCTTCTGGTATTTATGGCTAGTTGAAATTAGAATATAATTGATTATCCTTTTTTTTTTTGTCTTCAAGCATCATTTAATAACGAGAAACATTTACTATACTATGTTTTTTCAACCAATGTACGTAGTAGATATCTTCTCTCTCTGTCGACACCCAAAATGAAATCATTTATTTGTCAGTTCTAATCTAAAACGTAAAAAAAGAAGAAGAGGAAATGTAATGAAGAAGAAGTAGAAAAATGGCAAACCAGATTCATATTCTCTCGTTTATCATATACATAAACTACTAAAATTATCTTTAAGACTATGATAAGAAAGTGATTTATGAATGATAACAGCTTTTTATAAACTAAACACCTGCCGCGTCAAAACATATAACATATTCTATTAAGTGTATATTGATTGTCTATAGAAGTCAGACATTTTTAATTACTTTCCATGTTTTTTTTTTCTTAAAAATTTAATTGTTTCTAGGAGAAAAATACCGATTATCGATTACCGTAACTTGTTAATGAATTGTAATTTTATGGGAGAAAAACAAAACGTCTGTCAAATAGATCATTTTTTGTTTTTTCTTCTATAACTAATAATAAGTTGAGCTATTAGTAATAGAAAAGAATATGGAATAGAGTTTTTTTAGCAAAGATAAGGTAATATAATACGTATATCACTCAAACTAATAATGACCTTACAAGTGATTAAAGAACTCAAAGCAACTCACAAGTTCTCAGAATTAGTACTTTCTCAAGACTTCATTAGCAAGATATTATTATACTTTGCTTCAGATAAGACAAGATCAAAATTATAAAACATTAGCTGACAGGAATATAAACAACAACATGTTATGATGAATATTTGTAATTCGTCAAATCAGAATTTTTTCTTTAGCCAAAAAAATTCTATTAATTGATCATAGCCGATATTTTGCTGTAACGAATGAAACAGTATATTTTTTTTCTTTGACTTTGAATTAATCTCATGAAACTAAAATAAACCAAATGTTGAAGTTTACCTAAAACGTGTCTTATCATGTTACCCGTAACAGATTTATTTCTCTATTATGTCGTCTTTTGATATGTTAAACAATGTTCCCTTTGATAGAGCATCATCGTTCTTTCTCATTGCATAAACACTTAATTTAATTGATTTGATTTTTCTTTTGTAAAAAAACATTATCGGAATGCAGAAACAATATTGATAGAAAAAATACGATCATAAAAGTAAAATAACAATGTCTTGTATTACACTTTTCAATTTAAGAATTGAGTTTGACATAATATTTTAATTTTCAATAGATACTAAACATAAATGAATTATAGTTCTATATGCATTTCAAAAAGTGTCTTTTTTATGTCAAGAGATTGAAATTTTAAAATTTTACATGTGCCCGATAAATAGATTCTAATATAATTCGGGTATAAGGTACAAGTCTATATAATCGTTTCCAGAAATGAACAAAAATTTTTACTACAAAATTATTTTCAACTTCATAAAACTTTTTCACATTCAATTATACAAGAAATAGGATTAGTGATCTTTAAATTTTTTTTTTACAACACTTAACAAAATTATATACAGTTTCTCTATAATAAATAACACGTACATTCGAAAAGCAAACATTTTGTTAAATATATTTGTAAATAATTGTCCATTCACACAGGATTTTAAATAGTTAGAAGACAAAAAATTTGTATTGTTTGAAGATAAACTCAAGTTGATTCTAAGACGAAATTCAATCAATTAATGATCAGAGATCAATATATGTATACACTTGATATGAACTAAAACAAAAAACTGACACAAACTTTCTGGCAATAACAAACAACAGTCAAAAGAGCATATTGAGTTTCACTCTTATAAGTTACTTCCTTTCTATGCTTTAAAAATAGAGAAATAAATGTTAAAATAAAACTTCATGTTCGTGACTGATGTAGATTAAAATAAAAATTAACACGGTATCACTTCTATTCTTGTGGTGATTAAAAAGATTTTCAAATAACTTTTAAAACAATTTTTTCATTATATAGCTCGTTAATAACTTAGAGCAGAGAATCTGTTCTATAAATTTTCGGATACAACTTTTACATCTACATTTTTCTCTTACCATTTAGATATAGATCCTTGTTTCTTGTAATCATCAGAAAACATCCTTTAGTCATGGTCATTAAATTGAGAAATGTCGTTCATACACAGTAGATTATTAATGAAGTGCGACTGTTTTCTTTCCTCTCTCTATCTCTCTCTCGCTTGTAGAATAAGAAAAGACATAACTGCGATAAAGTTTTCAAGACTATATATGTACTTATCCATCTATCGTAGTTTCGAATCATTTCCTATATGTAAATTAAAATCATTTTTCTTTTCGTTTATCATTTTAAAAACATATCCAGATACTGATTATATTTCATGTATTTATTATGACTGTGTATAGAGTATAGTCTGGCTTTCAAATAAACAACAATTCATCAATTTCTCGACAAAAAATTCATTTTCATCAATCAAAAAAATTTAATTATTTTATTTACAAACTATTATATCTGAAAAAAGTTCGATTGATAACAATCTGACAAGTAATCTTCCTATTATACAATTAATCGAACAATATGATAAAATCGAAAAAATCACTAATCGTAGTTTTTAACCGCAAAATCGGCAAATTTAATATCATCAGCATCTCCTTTATGGTTTAAGAATGTTCTCTCTACTTTAAGTCATCATCATTCTAAATATGTTTGCAAACCTTCAGTTATTATCTCCTCAAGCAGTACATTCTTCTTTTTGTTACTTTAAACGGTGAAACATACTTTTTAAACCTTCACTCGGAACTCTGTGTGCTCAAAGAGCATTGAGACGGCACCACTACGTCTTAATTACCTGTCAAAAAAGCACTTTCTAATTTTCTCCTTTCTAAACTTAAAATGTAGGTCGTTAAGTAAAAATCAACTCTTCTAATTTGGCTGGCAAGATCCATGCTTGTACGACAGTGGCATCGTTAAAACCATTCTCACTTTCTCTAAACTGTAATTTTCACTTCTGCAGAACTTTTTTATTAGGCAGTTGTATCGTTAGAACGATACCGATTTAAAACTAACATTCCTAGTGCGTTCTTTTTGACTGACGAGGGAACCGTCCCAGGTGCCCAACTCCGATTTTCTTCATTCATACCTCGTTTTATAGAGCACATCGAGCTGGTAATAAGCCTAAAAGGATTTTTGCCCATGGCTCTTGAAGTCTCGGTTTTCTGCAAAATCAGTTTTTGAGAAATTCTAAGAAATAATTAAAACCTTTCATAATGAGGCATAATTGTAGCTCGCACATTTTTGATTAAAATGCGACGTCTACCAGCTCTACATGACCTTTCTTTGCAAAGTTATAGAATTTACAAGAAAAGCCCTAAATGTTCATTGTTAGCTCAAAGCTGTAGAAATAAGAAGAAATTAATTTAGGACTTTTCTTGTAAATTCTATAACTTTGCAAAGAAAGGTCGTGTAGAGCTGGTAGACGTCTCATTTTAATCAAAAATGTGCGAGCTACAATTATGCCTCATTATGAAAGGTTTTGATTATTTCTTAGAATTTCTCAAAAACTGATTTTGCAGAAAACCGAGACTTCAAGAGCCATGGGCAAAAATCCTTTTAGGCTTATTACCAGCTCGATGTGCTCTATAAAACGAGGTATGAATGAAGGAAATCGGAGTCGGGCACCTGGGGCGGTTCTCTCATGAGAAAGTAACGAACCTCCGCCTAGTCAGCCATAGTCATTCAAAAACTGCAGGATTTCAAAATTTTACGAACAATCTTACGCGTTTAGTGAATTTGTGGCACAAACACGCAGGAAGCGCCAGTTGCCATGGAAACAGGGGCTTTGCTCGCGTGTTCCTGCGTGTTTGTTCCACAAATTCACTAAACGCGTAAAATTTTTCGTAAATTTTGGAATCCTGCAGTTTTCGGAATGACTATGACTGACTGAGGCAGAGCGTTAGTGTTGCTAGAAATGTCGTGACTAGTGAGAGATCCTACAGACCGAATAATTCAGAACTATTTGTTTTTTCAAAGCAAAGGACAAAGCAACAATCTTTGACGCTACTTCTGCGACGTTTTTCTAATCCATTATCCCTCTATACGGAAAAATCTGTAGATTGCAACATCCAGGGATCTTGATACATGCATAGATCCGAATGACCCACAGTGTCTATCTTCAGAATTGATATGAAGTTCAGTTAAAAACACTTGCTTTCTTCAGTCGTACTTCTAAGATTTCGATACTGTGCCGAAGGTTCCATTTTTGACTCTGTCAACACGAATAGTCAGGGCTGCAAATAACGGAAGGATGTAGGAGAATGCGCACCGAACAAACTCTTTTCATTGACAGTTTTCGCTAGTATCTACATCCCCCTAAAGTATGAACAATATTAGATACATAAGTCTTGGAAAAAGCATCGTCTAATCAATAACTAGTGAAGAGCCATGTATTCTAGATCAAAGAAATCATTAACTGCTGTCTTTAATACAACATCCTTAGTTTTCTCGAAATGTTGAAAATGCGACATCTCCTTTTTAATTATGCCGTTGGTTGATTGAATCAATCAAAGTGGCGTATGAAAGCTTGGAATCAAAATGTTTTTAAAAGGGTTCGTTTTTAAAGTATGGAAGCAAGAAAACAGATACTTATTTACAGTAAACAGAATATATAGCACTATGCTCTATCGTATTCTCTTAGTGTTTAAGTTTCGCGTTCTATTCCTTGGTTATTATTCATGAAAGAAGATATACTACTCAGTTATCTTCCCGTTTTTCTTATAAAAAAGTTCTTTTTAAGAATGTAATGATACTCGTTATGGGTTTAGAATCAGTTTTGAGGCGTAATTCAAAAGAAAATCTTCACAATGTAGTTTGAAGGCGTAACCACCATCATGAGTTTTCTGTAATAAAAAAACTGTCTTTCACTATAAGTCGTCAGGCCATCTCGAAAGCATTGCTCAGAAGTACGATGGCAGTAAAAATATAATAATTTAGGAAACAATTATAAAGCAATTGCTTCAAGCAGCATTTTTAACGATGAATGCTATGGTATTTTAAGAGTAGTAGAGCCCGCACTGTATCGGTATTTACGTTGATCACACTTCACCGCATAAATAGAGAAAAACTATGTTTTCTTTTGTTTAGTGCTGCTTAAACTTTACTTATACGCAATTTTATTCCTTTGACACTGGACAAAAAACGTAGAATAGTCTGTAGCTCTTCAATTGAAATTCTTATTGGAAACACTGCAGGTTAAAGAATACAAAACACTGAAAAACATAGCTTCAGCGTGTTTTCTGAGCAAATGAAAGCCTTATGAAGAACTTCAACTGCTTAAAATGACCTCACAATCTGTATTTATCTGTTAATTGATTAACTTATATGGAAAGCAAATATATTCTATTTTTGTTTTTAAAATAATGTAATGTCACCTTTCAGATGAAGAAACTCAATTTAAAAGATTATCTGTCGGAGGATGGAAAGTTGGATTTAAGTATAATGAATTTAAAAGCTGTTCCACCGATAAAAGAAATTGTGAGTTTTCATAGTACCTTTATTTTTCGTGCGATTATTTCCTTCTGTTCTTTGTAGCTAGCCCTGAAAAAAGTGAAGTCGTTAGATTTGTCAAGTAATCAAATTGAGTCACTTTCAGCAAGTATCTCGTTAATTGTTAAATTTGATTTACTTTTCACTTATTATTTTGTTTGTTTTTTCTCATAGGATGATTTTGTTAAATTAGAAAATATTCATACGCTTGATTTATCAAAGAACAAGTTAACATCATTGCCAGATAATTTTGGCCTAATGAAATCATTAAAACAATTGGATTTATTTGATAATCGCATTCGTACTTTGCCGATAAGCTTTTGTGAATTAACGAATTTAGAGGTAAATTTCATATGAAGAAGATAGTAATGTTAAATAACATGGTCTTTTTCATTAATTAGTATCTTGATTTGAAGAATAATGCTTTAGAAGAAGAATGGAATGAAAAAGCTGGAAAATGTATTACGCAGAAAGAATGTCGAGAGTGTGCGAAAAACGTTGTGCAATACGCTGCAGAGTTAATGAAAGTTTTTGAAAAAGAACAACAATTAAAAATGAAAAAGAAAATGGGTAAAACGTTTCTTCTAAGTACGCTCAATCAATACTGCATGATCTTTTCTGTTTTGTTTAGCACAGGATAAAATAAAACAAAAAAAAGAAGAAAAAATACGTCAACAACAACGTGAACAAAAAAAATTAGAAAAAGAAGTTCGTCGTCGTGCAATATTGGAAGCTGGACAACAAGAGTATGAGGGAAAAGATAATACTGATAGAATCGATTCTAAATTGAATGTAGCTCATACCACTAAACGAACATTACCGGTTCATGGATTTGGTAAGAGTAGAAAAGTACAAATACCTTGTCAACTTGAATATGTTTTTCTTTTTTCAGGTAAACGGTTATTTTATGTGTTTCTATCAACGTTTGGTTTTATTTCGATATTTTTATTTGTTTTTTTCATTTTAAACAATTATTCTATTATTG